CTCAACCCGAATCCTCGGTCTACGTCTCATGTATAGGGCTCCAACACCTTTAGGCCCATATATTTTGTGCCCGCTAAGGGACATCAAGCTTATGTTCATCTTATCCACATCGATTGGGATCTTCCCCAATGCTTGTGCTGCATCTGTGTGGAAAGGAACATTGAATTCCTTGCATATTTTTCCTATTTCTTCCATGGGCTGGATAACCCCAATCTCATTGTTCACCATCATGACAGAAACCAGACCTGTATCCGGCCGAATAGCTGCACGGAGCTTTTCTAGGTCAATAAGCCCATAGGGTCTGACCGGGAGGTATGTGACGTCGAAGCCCTCTTGCTGCAGGAAACGGCAGGAGTCAAGGACGCACTTGTGCTCAGTCTGCGTGGTAATGACGTGTCTCTTCTTCTCCCTGTAAAAATGCATAACGCCTTTGACAGAGATGTTATTGGATTCGGTGGCGCCGGACGTGAAGATGATCTCCTTAGGAGAAGCGTTAATTAGGGCCGCGACTTGTCCGCGGGCCGTCTCTACTGCGTCGTCCGATTCCCAGCCGTAGAGGTGAGTCCGGGAGTGAGGGTTTCCGTAGCAAGAAATGTAATAAGGGAGCATAGCGTCAAGCACACGAGGGTCCACCGGTGATGTCGCCTGCATATCCAGGTAGAGAGGTCTTCCAGCGATCTTCACTCCTTTCACGGTGATCCCGCTGGTCTCTTCTTCGTAGGGCTCCACTGTCGCTTCCGCCGCCGCCGCCGCAGCGCTTGAGAGAGGGCGCAGGAACATGGAGGGTTTGGCGACTCTACCTCGGAAAAAGGATTGTAGAAGCTTCGAGGCCATCTTCGGTACCAGAATACTTTCTCCGCCGATAAATTGAGCTATAACCGTTGAAAACTTCTTGATTCGAAATTTGGAAAGTGGAAACCCTAGGAAAACGGTGGATTTTGATCGCCGTCTCCTCATCGGCGGTGCTGGGCTGTCATATAAGAGCTACAGTCGTAAAAACGAAAGCACACGTGGCAGCATCTCACCCATTCGTTGTCTCTACGCATCTTTTGCTTAAACGTCATCGTATTAAGCGTGGCGTTAGTAAATACGGCTCCGTGGCAGATAGACTCTGAAGTCTACACTCCAGCGGAAAATATAAGGATTACGCGCTTTGGAGCGCGTGGGTAGCACAAAAGGTCAATGAAAATGGAAAAATTGGAATCGTGAACGCCAACGGGTTTTACACCGATTTTTTTTTTTTTTTGGTTTTACACCGTTACCGCTTTTTCATTAATGGATAGAGAGAAGGAGAAGATGACAAACAAGGAGCAGATCTAACTCAGGAAATTCTACTTCCCACCGACAAACAGTTTCTTCTTTGCATTGTTGGGCCTCTCTATAACTTCAACCCACATTTTATCACACTGATTATTCTTGAAGAAGATGGTTCTTGAATCTTGATTGAGAATTGAGAGTGTACCTTTTCTTTACTTGGTAAGTATTAAAAAAAGAGGCTGCTTTCTTCATGCATCTGTGGTATGCCTTTCTTTCCTCAAGTTTAACCCTTTTTCCCTTTTGCATTGTGAAGACTCTCCAAGATTGCGCTTTTAGTTTTGTCTAAAAATGACTATATCTGTGATCTATGTGATGCTTTGAATCTTTGGTTGAATTCAAGTTTGTGGTGTTGGTTCTGTTATGGATTTAACATTGATGTTTCTTGATAAAGTGATGAACTTTTCCTTTAACGTGTAATTTATGAATGAGATCATCAGATTTCTGGGACAAAAGGGTCTTAGAAGATATGAATTCATTCTTTATTGTTTTATCTTCAGATATGGTTAAATCTTGGATTATGGACCTTATGGTTAAGGTTTTAAAGTCAGACTTTAACAATTCTAGACTGTTAGTTTTCACTGTTGGAAAACCTTTGGTGTAGTTTGGTTAGACGTAATCAAATGCATATTGTAATGTAACGTTACCCTGAAAATATTACTCCTTATTACATACGAGTAATATTTCATATGTTATTTCAGTCTACCAAACTAAAGCAGCGATTGTTTGCTAGGAATGCTTGAACTTCAATGAGAACTCTAGGGCCTTTTTGGATCTGGGAAAACACTAGGAAAAGATGCTAGGGGAGTAAAATAAAAGTTAGGCTGCACTTGATAAAATATAGAGATTTTTGGATTCTGTCTGTTTCATTTATGTCTATTATTATAAAAGACTAAGAAATTTAAAAATGGTTTAAAAAGTAATTACTATTAATTTACTTTGTATTTTTTAAGGTGAACGCTTACATGAAGAATAACATCCCTTTTGGATAAACATGTTAACTTTCACGAGAACTCAAGAGTCTGTTTGGATCCCATACAATACAAGGGAAAGAAGATTGGTGACAAAAAATACATAAAAGTTAGACTGGAATTTAAGGGGGTGTCCAGATGTCGAATTTAATGGATTTTAGTTATATTTAGAACACACTAATATTTTTATGATGTATGTGGATACTGATTTTTTTCATATACTAGTATGTCTTTTATAAAAGATTATGCAATATAAATATGGCTACAATTAATTATATTTAAGACACTTCATATTTTCCTAAAAGGTAAAACCAAATGTAAAAAAATTACTCCGTATATTACTTGCCTTTCTTCTCATTTCCCTGACATTTTTTGTGATATCTTCAAAGGCTGAAGCTTGCTTTCTTGGAATATGTTTGCCTTTTGTTTGGCATTTTGTATGGCCTTTCTAACTTCAGCATTTTAAACTTCATTTATGTGCCTTTTGACCTTTTCTTCATATCATGATGCAACTGGCCTTTCTGTTATTGGAATATGAAGAGTTGTGGAGAACTGAAGCTTTTCTGGAAGGCTGCACGAGGAAAATAATCATGTTCAAGCTGTTTCCACGGAGGAACAACAAAAACAATGGCTTCAAAGTGAAGCATGCTCTTCAGATATGTGTACTGGTAGGCGTTTGCATTTGGCTGCTTTATCAAGTCCAACACTCCTCCACTAATAAGAAAGAAGCATCTGGAGAATCAACTAGCCTCTCTGAGAAGGTGGAGACTGGTAATAGTATCTTAAACCTGGGAAGGAAAGACCTAAAACCTGAAACAGATGAAGAAGGTTTAACAAACAGGGATCCAGATGAAGATGTGGAAGATGAGAGTGAGCCAAATAATGATGGAGATGCAAAAGCAGAAGATAACTCAGAGACAGAAAGCAATGGAAGTAAGGAAACTATAGAAGAAAAGGTGCAAAAGGATGAAGAAGAGGAAACTGGAAGTGAGGGAGAGAGAGATATGGAACACAGAGATGTGGAGAAAGAAAGGGCAGATAATGATGATACCAGAGAAGAGAAGAATGAGAATGTTAGTGAAGGTGGGACAGACAGGGAGACAGCAGACGAAAATGAAAGTGAAGAAGAGAATAATGGAAGCAAAGAGGATGGAGATGAGGAAACAAATGAAAATGGAGGTGAATATAAGGATGCTGAAGTTGCGGAAAACAACGACAGTGAATCAAGAGATGAAAAGCAGAAAGAACGTGGTGAGACTATTCAAATTGATGAGAAAACCACGGATGATTCAAACTCAACTATTTCATTGACGAATGTGACAATTTCCGAAGCCTCAGCTGATGGGCTAAGTGACAGTACAGATTCAACTGGAGGGGAAGAGAATGGTGATTCTATTAATACTGATACAGAAGAAACAGTCAAAGCGTCAATTGATGATGAAATAACTACCAGTTTGGATGAAAACAAATCAACAGATTCATTAAACTTCGGAAATGAAGAAATGCCCGAAAACAAGAATCCAGATGAATCATCCAGTTCAGTTTCTCCAGAAGAAAAAGATGCCCTTACAGATGTGGGAACTGAAGGGAACAGTGATGAACATGCCACCAATGATTAAATAGATCAGGTTCATTCGCTTGTTCAGTCATGTGTCCTCTTTCTTTAATTCCTACTCTTAAAGAGTAAATTGAATTACTGTAAATGCTGCTTGCCAGGCAGCAAAAAGCTATATTGTATAAGTATATTCACTATCTGCAAACTCTGATAAAGGACACAAAAAGTCTCTGTCATATGAATCTGAAAACTTTGGTAAGAAGAGCCTGTAAAAAAATTCATTTTATTAGTGTTGTTATTTGTCGAGTTTATGATTCCATTTAGCATATTCAGTGTTTTAACACTTCGAGATACATTAGTGAATATCTACCGAGTAGTTAGATGGATTTAGTTGAAAAAACTTGGGCTAAGAAGAAAATTCTCACTCAATAAGCCAAGTTTAGAGAGAGAGAAGGATAGATGAATAAGGAAGTTTTGATGGTGAGGTGGAATTATTGACGTCGAGGAAAATTTTGTTGCTTGTTAGTCGTTACTGGGTGTCCACCACCATGCAACATCGCTGTGTGATTTCTCAGCTTCTCCTTTTCAGGCAGAAGAGGTGCATCAGTGCAAGAACAATGAAAATGTTGTGGATTGATTCTGTTTCCATTTTGCCACACTATCACTGTTGTTCAATTGCTAGCTACTTTTTCGTTTCGCGCAACTTTAGTTTGTTCAGTTTTGTTTTGACTCAAATCTAAATACAGAACAAAACTGATAACTTTGATTCACTGTGGCTTGACATTTTCTATCATTGGAGGGGAAGATAGTGGTGATGGTAAAAATTCTGGTTTGGAAGAGACAGTCAAAGCTTCAAATTATGATTAAATAACTACCATAATGAAGAGTTGCCCAAAACAAGAATCCAGATGAATCCTCCAATTCAGGCATTCAGCTTCTCAAGATGGAAAAGTTCCCTTACAGATAACTGAAGGAAGCAGTGATGAACATGCTGCCAATGATTAAAGAGACCAGATTTATTCACTTGTTTAATTCTGTGTCCTTTTTCTTTAATTCCCACTGTTTAAGGGTGAATCAAATTGCTCTAAGTTCTGCTTTCCAGGCAGCACTAAAGCCATACTGTATAAGTGTATTTGTTGCCGGCAAAACTTCTATAAAGGAGGCCAAAAGTGTCTAGCATATGAATCAGAATACTTTTGTAAGAAGTGCTTATGAAAAATTTCATATTATTAATATTGTTATCTTTCAAGATTTGTGTATGCAACTAAATCCATGTGTTATTGTCATCGTCAAACATCTTTTCATACAGAGTATTTGATCGTAAGCATACATGTATGTGCGAATGGTGTATGAAGGGGGATCTGCATCAGAATAAATCTTATGGATTTAGTACGAAAGTACACCATTTTGTGGACACCATTCACACATATTATTTGTTTACGCAGAAAGACAATATGTGCGAATGGTGTATGCCAAACCTTTTTGTTTATCTAAATTGACTGATGTTTTTTAAAAACTCATAAATGAGTGTGAAATGGTCGGTCACAAACTAAGAGATCTTGGTGAACAAGCCTATAATTATTCATCAACGGAATCGTGTTATATATGTCCATTGATTGATATATTTTGAAAAGTTTGGTATTGAGTGGTTGTTTGAGATATATCTGGTGGTTAGGATGCGTAACCCGTTGCTTGAGATATATTCTGCCATAATCCGTAAGTTTGAGGTTCATTACTTCGGTCTTGGTGTTGCATGTAGAATTTTGGAAGGCTTTTTTCGTGTTATCATGCCCAATCCACTTTTTGAATGACATAAACTTGGAAGCATCTAGTGTTAGTGGTGTCAATTTAGCAAAACAATATTATATAATAATGTGTACATATATAAAAACAAAAAATAGCAAATATTGTCATTAATAAAATTAAATTATTAATTCACAATTGTCCACGAGTATGAAAACGCTGTACAATTTTTTCTTTGTCAACACTTTTGAATATATCCTTTTCAAATAAAAGTAATTAATGCATCAGTCATCATAGCATCCCCATTCAATTGCGCAACTTGTTCTTCACGATCTTCATGGCTTAGAAACCCGTTCCAACTTTTAAAAATTTCACATTGACCCATTTTTTTAAATGGTGGACATGTGTCAATTTATAATTTATGAAAGATTATCTATGCCTATACATAGATTTTTTGTTTTTAAGTGGTGTCAATTTAAAATTTTAAAAAATGTATACCTATATCTGCTGCCGCCGCCGCCGCCGCCGCTGCTGCTGCTGCTGCCGCCGCCGCCGCCGCCGCCGCTGCTGCTGCTGCCGCCGCCGCTGCTGCCGCCGCCGCCGCCGCCGCCGCTGCTGCCGCCGCCGCCGCCGCCGCCGCCGCCGCCGCCGCCGCCGCTGCTGCCGCCGCCGCCGCCGCCGCCGCCGCCGCCGCCGCCGCCGCCGCCGCCGCCGCCGCCGCCGCCGCCGCCGCCACCACTACTACCACTACTACCACCACGACCACCACGACCACCACGACCACCACCACCACCACGACCACCACTACCACTACCACCACTACCACCACCACCACCACCACTACCACTACCACTACCACTACCACTACCACTACCACTACCACTACCACTACCACTACCACTACCACTACCACTACCACTACCACTACCACTACCACTACCACTACCACTACCACTACCACTACCACTACCACTACCACTACCACTACCACTACCACTACCACTACCACTACCACTACCACTACCACTACCACTACCACTACCACTACCACTACCACTACCACTACCACTACCACTACCACTACCACTACCACTACCACTACCACTACCACTACCACTACCACTACCACTACTACTACTACTACTACTACTACTACTACTACTACTACTACTACTACTACTACTACTACTACTACTACTACTACTACTACTACTACTACTACTACTACTACTACTACTACTACTACTACTACTACTACTACTACTACTACTACTACTACTACTACTACTACTACTACTACTACTACTACTACTACTACTACTACTACTACTACTACTACTACTACTACTACTACTACTACTACTACTACTACTACTACTACTGCTGCTGCTGCTGCTGCTACTGCTGCTACTGCTGCTACTGCTGCTACTAGCTGCTACTACTGCTACTACTGCTACTACTGCTACTAACTGCTACTACTAGCTACTACTACTACTACTACTACTACTACTACTACTACTACTACTACTACTACTACTACTACTACTACTACTACTAACTACTACTACTACTCTACTACTACTACTACTACTACTACTACTACTACTACTACTACTACTACTACTACTACTACTACTACTACTACTACTACTACTACTACTACTACTACTACTACTACTACTACTACTACTACTACTACTACTACTACTACTACTACTACTACTACTACTACTACTACTACTACTACTACTACTACTACTACTACTACTACTACTACTACTACTACTACTACTACTACTACTACTACTACTACTACTACTACTACTACTACTACTACTACTACTACTACTACTACTACTACTACTACTACTACTACTACTACTACTACTACTACTACTACTACTACTACTACTACTA